AAATGGCAATAAAAAAACAAGTGGACTTCATTAACAATAAGATGTGGGGATATGAAGATTTTGGCACTGGAGTGTCTGATGATCAGTTGAAATGTGCTACTGAGGCATTTGTTTTGTTGGTGGTTTCAGTAAATAGTAACTGGAAGTTACCTATTGCTTATTTCCTCATTAGTTCATTAACTGGATCAGAAAAATCGAATATCGTGAAGGAGGCTCTCACAAGATTGTTCAATGTTGGTGTTAGAGTAACATCTGTCACTTGTGATGGCCCTAGTGCAAATTTTACAATGGCCACACAGTTGGGTGCAAAAGTATCTGATATTAACAACCTGAAGCCATATTTCCAGCATCCAGTGGATGACAGCAATGTGTTTGTTATTTTTGATGCTTGCCATATGATGAAGCTATTAAGAAATAACTGGGCCACCAGTAATATATTTGTAGATTACAAAGGAAGAAAGATCGATTTCAAACTTATCAGTAAATTACATGACATACAGGAGAGTGAAGTATGTAAGTTTGGAAATAAGTTGAAGAGAGCACACCTTGAATGGCAACAACAAAAAATGAAAGTGAGTTTTTGTCACATTTTCATTTCACTGTGTTATTGTATTGACCTCAATTTGATTTTCAGGTGAATTTAGCTGCTCAAACAATATCCAACAGCATTGCTGATGCTTTAGAGTTTTTGATGAAGGACATACAGCACCCTGACTTTGCAGATGCTGAGGGAACAATCATTTTCCTTAGAGTTTTTGATAGAACCTTCGACTTATGCAATTCTCGAAGCCCTATTGGAAGGGGAAGTAAAGCTCCACTTCGGGAAAGAAATGAACAATATTGGAGACCCATTTTATTAGAGGCTATGGAATATTCAAGAACTTTGAAAACTGAAAGTGGACAGTTCCTCCATCTAACAAAGAAAAAAACTCCATTCAAAGGATTTTGCATAACTATAATGTCCATCATAGGGATTTATGAAGAATATGTGAAGAAGGAAAATTCACCTCTAAAATATGTTCTAACTTACAAGTTTAGCCAGGATCACATTGAATTGTTCTTCTGCTGTATTAGGTAAGTGGAAGTTACCCCTAAATTCATTGATTCAAATCCATATTATGATATCTACTTTTGAGAATGCTAATTTTGTCTATTTTTAGATCAAAAAATGGATGGAACAATAATCCTACAGCCTACCAATTTCATTATACCTACAAGCGATTAGCATTGAGGCATGATATAACCGATTTGAAAGGCAACTGTATGGATGATGAGACCCACATTTTAACAACCAGCCCTGGAGATATTAAAAAAATCGTCCCTATGGTTTCTATTGACGATGTTGCTGTTATTAAAAAATATAGCCTAGACATTTCAGATACAATCATTATTGATGATAATATTGAATATGAAATGCAGTTTTTGCCATCCTTGAGTGTTCTTACAGAAAATGTTGTAACTTACATCAGTGGCTTTGTTATAAAAAAATTGAAAATTATTATCAAATGTTTTGAGTGTCTCTCGAAAACTGAATCTGTAAATAATTTTTCTATAGATGGAGATAATTTCAAGTTATTGAATCGCAAAAATCGAGGAGGACTCATTAAGCCTTCTGAAGATATCATAAAAATATGCATGCTATGTGAAAAGAAACTGAGGTTTATTCTTGAGTCAAATAAAAATATGATACCAAAAGAAAAAAATTTTTTTATGATTTTGGTTCATAAAATATCAAATGAATTGTTGGAAAGAAATATATTTCAAAATTTGAATGATCATGTCCTTGACAATTCACTTTTAGAAAATCATAAACTCAGGTTGATAAAAACTACAGTAGAGATATACTTGAAAATAAAGTTGTATCACCTTGGAAGACAACAAACTGAGTTCATGAGAGGGCTGACAATTCGTCAAAAAATGAACAAATTGGTGTTATTTTCCCACCAATAATCAATAACATTTGTGACTTTGAAAAAAATTGACATTTCCTTTTCTCTAGATTTTTTGGGATTTCCTCCGCGTTCCTATAAATAATTTCAATTCTTTATGTTGAAAACGGGAGCTGAATTTCGGTTTCCCGTAACGTCCATTAATAATAAGAAGTGGAATTTTTGTTGTTGATATACCTGCATTCTTCTTCAAATAATAATCATACTTTTATTCACAGAAACAAGAAGAGGAAATCCCAAAATATCTAGAGAAAAGAATATTCCACCTTCTCGTTTAACCTAGACAGGATTTGAAATTTTCTATGTTAACACTACAGTTTGTGTCTCCTTGAAAAAATGTTTTATGAATAACAGAATGTATTTCATTTTTTCTTTCCCAAAATGTATTTGCGTCTATCTTGCCATAAAAAATGTTTTCGATTGGTAATTATTGAATAAAAATGTAGTTGCCTATTCAAATGTTTTATTTAATGTTTTCAATATTATTACTGAGTGAAAAACGAGGTGAAAAATATATTAGCATGATTCACCTACCTATATTTATATGTATAATTTAATTCCATTTGGTGAGAATGTGTACTTGCTACCCTTTTTCACCTTTTGAACAAAATTACTTGTTTCTATCTATATCAATTCAGAAAAATATCTTAAGAAATTGTTAAAATCCCATGTTTTTACGCATTTTTTGAGCCTCAAAGTCTGTTGTCTATTTTCTCTGTTCCAGATAAAAATATATATATTCCATCACAGAAAAAATATATTTTCGAATGATAATTTTTCCAAAGCTCGGCAAAATAACGCCGAAGTATTTTGTGTTCAAATGTCAACATTTGATAGCAGTCTTCGAAAAATGTAAATTCACAAACTATTTTACATTATAATTCAACATACTTCAATGGGCAAGAAATAAACGTTCATTGGCAAGACCGGCCCTGGTTCCAATATGAGTGCGCATGCTCACAACCTTAAATTCGCCATGTCTGCGCGAGGTTCTAATGAGCGTATTATTGATATCATGCATCAGCATTCCATTTGTAGGGTATAGTTCAGTGTTTCAAACCCCCATAAAGTTAGCAGAGCCACTTGCTGAAAAATTGATGAAACCTATTCCAATGATTGTCGGATAATTGTTGGGAATTTGTCATGAAAGAAAAAAAATTGCCGCGCTTATAGTTTTTTTTTATACTGGGTGGCTGTGCTAAGTTAATATTAAGTTAGCAGTGCCACTGGAAAATAAACATCTAATGGAATCACAGTTGTTATAGATAATTGTCGAGTAGCTGTCGAAGTGCATCTGACGTGAAAAAAATGCAAAAAAACCGTTTTTATAGCATATATATATAAATTTTTCTAGGATTCCCTGGTTTCTGCAGAAATTTTGCATTTTTGGCAACAGCGCATTGATGAAATGATCTTTTATGCTCTTTTCGTAACGTTAATGTCAAAAATGACATTGTTTATGAAACATTTCATTTTCCATAAGCAAAAAAAAACTACGTTCAAAGGCTGATTGATAGAAATATTCCATTTTCACCGTGATACGTCCACCTAACTCTGTTTATTTATTCATTTTTCGATCAGAAATCCATTGAATGATTGTCGAAAGACTGAAACGTATTTGTCGTGGAATGTTTGAATTTCTAGAAGCTGAAAAACAGCGTGTGATTGGTAAAAATCCATTATTTATATTCCAACTGACGGCACAGTGCCTAAGGGGATTGTGTTTCAGTATTTTATTGGTGGAAAATTCGCTGTTCTCAGAATATTAGGACATGTTTGTCTATATCTATGTCTATATCTACGTTGAAATTATGTTTTCTATCAGTACGCCCAATCATGTATCTTATTATTATAATTTTCCGAACATATATCCTGAATTTTGAATTGACTCGGGCGTATGGCAAATGTAAAAACTTCGCAAACGATAAGATTTCCACAAAATTCTCAAACACACGACCTGTTTCGCTAACACAGTAGCTTCGTCAGGTGATATACTGGTACAATAAACTTCATTTTTTTTCGACGATTGTTCAATGGATTTCTGATCGAAGAAAAAATAAATCAACAAAGTTAGTGGGACGTATCACGTGAAAATGGAATATTTCTTCTTTTTTTGCTTGTGGAAAATGAAATGTTTCATAAACAACTTTATATTTGACATTTACTTTACGAAAAAAGCATAAAAGATCATTAAATTGATGCGCTGTTGCCAAAAATGCGAAATTTTTGCAGAAACCAGGAAATCATAGAAAAATGTCTATAAATATGTTATAAAAAAGGGTTTTTTTTGCATTTTTTTCACGTCAGATGCACTTCGACAATCACCCGACAATTATCTATAACAACTGTGATTCCATTATTGTATGTTTATCTTCCAGTGGCACTGCTAACTCAATATTAAGTTAGCACAGCCACCCCATATAAAAAATACTATAAGCGCGACAATTGTTTTTCTTTCAGGACAAATTCTCGACAATTATCCGACAATCATTGGAACAGGTTTTATCAATTTTTCAGCAAGTGGCTCTGCTAACTTTATGGGGGTCATTTTCAACCATTCAAATGCAATCATTTTAAATACAAATTTAGATAGCAAAATTGTATAGTAATTAAAATAGTATATATGCCTCACTTTTACTTCTTTTTACTTCTCAAATTTTAATTTTGTGAATTCAATAATATAACAACAATTTCACACCTTACTGAATTTTTGTTAATCCAAACCTGGATATTCTCAAACAGTTGCTTGGATAGAAAAACATGTGTACCTGACCAAATATCAGGAAAATATAAATACTGGGTGGTTATATAGTTAGTTATTATAACAAGAACATGAAAAGGAATAAGCAATATAGATAAAAATACCATATAATGTGGGTTATAAGTATCATCTTGGAAACTGTAATACCCACTTATACTTATTACCATTTTAAATTAATTTATATATGTTTTCTTCATGTCATAGGAGCTAATGAATAAATACTCAAGAAATGAGAAGGACCTATTGATATCGCATTAGGTGTTTAAATACAAAATTTAGGCAGTCCAAACCTTCTTTGTGATTTTATCAATCTCTTCTTCTGATCCACTAGAATCTTGTAAATTACTGATATAGGATCCTTCATTGGGTCTAACTCCTTGTTCTCTCAAAGCAGCTAATCTGGCTTCAATCTCATTTGCAGGATTATGAGCCAATTCAATGTCTTTCTCTGAATTGAACTGTTCCAAAAGTGAATCAATCTTTTCTTGGTCTGTTCTCTTATCAACTGTGAAAAGCTAAAAAAGGTAAGAAAAATAATTGAAATAAATAAATAAATACATTGACAAATTAACCATTTGTTTACAAATCACTCTGTATAGGTACTACCAAATTACAGAATATTTTAATATTGAGAAGCAGTATTTCAAACAGTAGGTAGAAGAGTATAAATAATAAAACAGTGAGGCTGTAGTGAGTTATCTTACTGGTTTACTGGAAGTTTCTACATATTCATTCTGTCCTTTCAACTTTGCCAGTCTTTGCCTGATTTCACACTCACTAGGTACAGGTCTTTTTCCATCATTTCTTATCTTTTCTAAACGTTCCACCAACTCTTTATCTTTTGCATTAAGACCACTCTTGAATGCATCTGAATCCACATCTTGCTTGTAAATCTTTACTGGTGAAACTGTAGGATTTTGTAAATTTTCTAATCTCCTGTAAATGAAAAATGCTCAGAATATTTCATCATTATACAAAAGCTTATGACAATGCACTTGATGAATTTATCTGGTGGAGGAACATTAGACTGTTCAGAGGTCTGCCCAGAGGATGATTTTGAAAAACACAGTTTGCACAGATTGGGCCCTTTCTTCAAACACTTGCTGCAGAAAGATAGTCCACAAGTCGAACATCCAAGCTGAAATAAATGTATTATTAATTATTTGAGGAAAAATATTATTAGAAACAAATTTATATTGGAAAACTATAATCATTTTGGGTCCCTGTTGTAGAACAATGAATAATGTATTACCTCCCTATGAAAAAAATTGAATTTGGTATTGCAATGATTGCAGGACATTTTAATGGACTTTGTGAATCATCGAAATACAGGGAAATGGAATATTCAAATTATTTCATTTTTATACATTAATAACATTACCCCCACATTATGACATTAAACAAATAAAAATACCACCAAATAAACGTTTGATATTTGATGGACGTTGACGTAGCCCGGATATCCTAGAGAGCAGAAGTCAACAGTCATTCAGTTCTTAAAAAAAAGAAGAAGAATGTCTGTTCATTTGGTTCCTCCGATGTCCGAGCAGTACAACCTTCTTCCTTCAATAATGCACTGAGTGTAAGAACATCTTGACAGCTGACACCTTACATTTCACAACAACAGGAACAGCTGATTAATGGACTTATTTCAATATTTTGATTTTGAGACTTGAGATTGTAAACAAAATAATAATAAAGAATGAAATAAACTAATCATTTGAATACCAAAGTTTAGGGCAACAATGGAAATCAAAATTTGAATAGCAATAAAAATGTCCTGTCCTGGCTGGTATTGTGGTAGAATACGTTTCCTAAATGAGGCAATCAGTGAATGTGGTCCTTGTCCCAGGGGCTTCCGAAGAAACGATACATCCTTCATCTGTGAAGAATGTACAGACACCCCTTCCTTCTACGACTGGCTATACTTAGGGTTCATGGTACTACTGCTCTTGGTGCTGCATTGGTTTTTCATTGATATGGTCTCCATGAAAAGACGGTATGATCTATATTTATATACATTTACCCACTTCTATATACCCTCATAAATGAATAAACTATTTTATAGTTTCAGTAGAGATGTCATTATTCTGCATGCTTCTGCATATTTTGAAGTTATGGTGGCATCTTTGCTTGCCATAATTTTTTCCAGTCCTATTGGATATCTCCGAATATCCAGCTGTAGAGTAAGAAGAATATCAGATTGGTACACCCTCTTTCATAATCCTACTCCCAATTATGAGAAAAAGGTGTATTGTACTCAAGAAGCAGTGTATCCATTGTAAGTACTCCATGAACAACTTTTCTCTTGATCATCATATCATAATATCTTTAATATTCATATGTGAACTTGGCTTCATTATGCTTTGGATTGAAGTGTGAGTATGGTTCCTTCTCAACACAATGGATTTTGATTATTTTGAATTATGTAAATATCTTATTTTTAAGAGAAGAATTTTTTGAATTTCTAACAACAATAATACATAAACTATAGCAGCATTCAAGCACCATGGCATCAAATTGATCAAATTTATCAGGTAGTCTTGAAGAGTCTCTGACAAGAAGAAGGTGGATGAGCCTCTGGAATTCATCTTTATGATGCTCTCTATAGATTCTGTATTACATTTCTTCTTCTTTTATGTTTCTTGGTTTTCTGACTCCTTGTGGTACCAATTTCACTAATATTACATTCCATAAAAATTAAAAAATTCTATACTTTCTTAAAACACTTGTATCTTCTCTTAAAAAGAAGATATTGATGTGAATCTAGAACCCTTGTCTTGAGAAGGGAGGAAAACGGGTCTTCACACTTCAACTATTATAAACATGATGAAGCAGAAGTTTGAAGAATGGTTCTGAATTATTGTTAATAGTCTCTTATAAAACAGTGATTATTGACGTGTATAAAAAACCATCATGTTGTGAAGGGATCACACTTTAATCCAAAACACAGTAGCGGCGTTAGGGTAGGGCGCGGTTGGGCGACCGCCCAGAGCGCCGGATGAAAAGGGGCGCCGCAGGAACCCCTATATATTCCTCAAATTTTTCAAATCAACGTCATTAGCGCATCTCACAATCAACAGATATAGATCTCAGTAAATGCACAGAAATGTTGAAAGAATGCTGCACTTTCTCGTAAGAATATTGGAATACTAACTCTGAAATCGCTATTTTAACTGCAGAGGAATTGGCTGAAGAACTAGAAATTGAACCTAAGCTTGGACCTAATCTTATAGTGCTACATGGATAATTCAATATGTTAAGGGTCAAGCTGGTGAAACTGCCCGCCACGTGCCAATAGCTTCTACAGAAAAAAATCAGGTTTAATTTTTCATTCATTTCAGAATGATGAAAGTAAGATATGGTGCGCGTATTCGGCCATTATTACGTATTGAAAATTTCAGAATAATCACTCGACCGCCTACTATGATTTCTCTACGTCACAACGAGCGAGACGTTGATTCTACATTTTCCTGCTAGATGGTGATGGTGCTATTGCTGCTGTGACGAATTCGGAAAATCTGCGACAATTTCAAAACTGACAGATGTCACAATTGTGCAATGTCGCCATCTATTAGAAGATCGACGGAAACGCAATGCTCTCGCTGTTCTCGAGAGGCCGAGTCAAATTTCTGAAACAAAAGCGCATCAGTAATTACACCATATCTTAATTTCATCATTCATTTCAGTTAATGAAATATTTGAAGTTGAATGAGTACTACAAATCTTGGTACTTTTGTACAATATAAAACAAATTTCGAAACAACTCGACCTTTGACAAGGTATATGTGGTGTGATAAACTCACCTAATCAGAATTTGGTTACCCCTGCATATGTTTTGAATTTTATAAAAGATCGCAACTAAAAAGAACTTTATCAAAATGTATGATTAGCATTGCGAATATTATTGACTTTATATACCTGTAATGGTTGCTAGTTTTCAGTTTTCCTGAGCCTAATGTGATAGAAACCTATCTGCGATCGACAATATCTCAATCTAGATTGACCAACTTGACAACTTTGTCAATTGAAAATAAAATTGCTGAAAATATTGACTTTGTTGATCTAATGAAAGAGTTTGCCAATACAAAGGCTAGAAAAGTGAAATATTTAAGTTATTAGGGGGCGCCGTAGAATTCTTGCCCAGGGCGCTGGTAGTGCTAAAACCGGCACTGCCAAAACATAATGAAAGACAAGTTTAACCACTCACCTTTGCTACAGGGTGTTAAGAAGTCAAGGAAAGAGTAACTTTTGTATTTTCTTGGATAATGATTAACCCATCAGCTTTTCTTAGGAACTAATATTCAGCCTAACATTCCAAAACATGTATATATACTTACCAGTTGGTCGAAATTTCTCCAAAATCGGACAAGAATCGAAAAAGTTACAGGGTGAACATAACAATATTTGGCAAAATTTTTTTTTGCGGGTTACATAAAGTAACATTATTGAGAATAGTGATCTTTAAAGGAAGTTCTGAATTATTGTTAATAAAAAAAACATACTCTCTTAAAACAGTGATTATCCACGTAAAAAAAAAACATTGTGTTGAGAAGGGATCACACTTTAATCCAAAACACGTTGAGAAGTTCAGGAAACAGTAACTTTTGTATCTCCTTATATAGTGATCAAGCCATCAGCTTTTCTTAGATTCAGCCTAACATTCAAAAACTTGAATATACTCACCATTTGGTCGAAATTTCTCCAAAATCAGACAAGAATTAAAAAAGTTACATGGCTAACAATTTGGCAAAATGTTTTGGTGGTCGGCGTTTTTTTTGCCGGTGAGTGTATTTTGCGCTGTAAAGGAAGTTTCTGGAAGTTTTCTTCGTACAGGGTATTCAGTGGCGTAACTACAGGGTGGCAAGTCGGCAAAATGCCATGGGCCCCCGGTCAGAGGAGCATCCAAACTCCCCAACATTTATTATTACACATTTATTCAATCATTCTTGAGATATTGCAAAACAACTATTTTTATTTCTTAACTTTAACGCCCTGTATCTCGAGAACTGAACACTTGAAGACCGTATGTCCCTATCTCATTGGTTATGAAATCATGAGGGCTATCACCTGTCAAGCGTTGTTGGTCGAATTCCGAAACACCCTGTATAAAGAAATACATTGAGAATTCGCATTTTCTATGTGATGAAAATATCAATTCTTTCTCGGTTTATTCAAATATAATACCACAAGTGATAACATTTTGCCGGAAATATTCGGTGATTGTTACGACAGCTTGTTGCCTAGTAATTTCGTGAATGGACAGCTTGTTGTCTAGTAATTTCGTGAATGACATTGTTATGACAATGTCATGAGCGAAATTAGAGCAGCAAGCTGGAGTATGTCAATCGACGAATATTTCCAGGAAAAATACTATCACGAGTTGTATTCGTATGACTATTTCATGATTGAATGAGACAATATATATATAAGAAATAGGAAACATAATTTAAGTATATTCCAACTCGAACTGCGAAGAAGAACATAATGATAATTGAATTTATGTGACATGGAATAATTAAAAAAAAAGATATCGTCGCCGAGGGCTCGAACCATCAACCTTCGTATCCTCGCGCAACAACCCTAACAGTTGCGCTAAATCAGCTAGTAGTTATATCAGTCAGTCACAATAACTTGAGTAATTGAAGAAGATTACTTCAAAAAGGAATTTGAATTCTATTATTGTTGTGTCAGACCGTCAACAAATATGCAAACTTTTTAAATTACACATGAAACGTCCAGCCAGAATAAAATTGTCTCGCCTTTCGTACAAAATATCTCACTAACGCGAATTATAAGTAAATAAAATAAAGTAGGAACTTAGGTTATTGTCTCAGATATGAATCGAAAAGCAATCTTGACCAGGCACGATGTCAAAATTTTATCGCTGATAAACGAGGTTAGTTGGTCACGTGTGGGTCAATTCGGCTTCTGTATTGATAGAACAAGTCCGATAAAATTTAATTAACAAAAAATATCGCTAGAATACAGAAGAAACCATGAAAATGGTCGATTCTGATTGGTTCTCGAGATCAACGAGTGGAATAGTCAACAGAAAACAACTTCTCTCCTGGTTACTTGCCACGTGGAATATTGAATTATATCTGTTGAACATCCAAAAAGAGAGCATGAGAAATGAAATTCTTCTAAAATCATCTCTCAAATCGGATGAAATAATATGATATATTATGATATAAAAATATAACTTACCAATATGTTCAGAATTGAAATGAAAATTGAAATGTATATTAGAAGTGTGGATAATCAGTTTCTAAAAACTTCTTTATGTTACAGATACACAACAGTTTTTCTGTTTTACGGTTTGAGCTTGCTGATGATGATCTTTGTCAGACCTTGGGTTTGCAACAAATTCACGAGGCACAAATGCAAAATGTCAATTTTCGCGGCAATGTATTTCATTCCAGTATTGGTCTTGATGCACGCCTTAATTGGAGGACTCCTATGTGAGTTAGCAAATTTTCTCAATGGGGCCCTTTTTGAAATCCTTCAATTTTGCATTTCAGATTATTGTTTTCCACACTTGGTTTTGATTCTGTCCGTGATATCCTGCGCATCGCATTTCGCCGTGAGGCTGGACCAGAGCGTCAAAGCCTTGATACTGACGACGGTGACTGAACCGCGAAACGTCGTCATTCTGCTAGGGCATTGGTTTTTGCACGCCTACGGTATCATATCGTTGACTCAGCTGGCCGATCCTCCTATCCACGCTTTGCTGATCCTTTTGGTGCCTTTGCCGACTTTGTTTTACATTTTTACGGCGTTGTTTACTGATCCCAGCAAGTCGCATTTTTAGACTTTTGTTATGTTGTTATTTATAAAACCATTTGACAGAAACTTCCCAGTTTTATGAATTATTTTAATCCCAGAGCCAATCAATGTAGATTTTATATCAGTCACAAAGTTACATCATTACCAAGGAAATGAATGTGATGTGGCAGCGACATTTTCATCAAACTAAACTGATCAATGGTCAACATTGATAACGTCGTGCTCCAAAATATAGCCTGAATTCAAAGTAGAATAACTCACGAATTTCCTTGCCAATTTGAAATCGGTTTTCACCGATGATTAGCCTAATCTCGTGACAGTTTGTTGTGGCAATATAAAACTTCTGTAATTTCAGATAACATTGTTACAGGGTGATAATTGAATGGGTGTAAAATTGCATCGTGGTCGTCACCTTACCGTTTGATCAGATAATTTTTTAAATTTTTTTTCTCACCTGTATCCTCTTGATTGATGCTCTCTCTCGAAAAGTTCTCGGAATTTTCGAATTCAGAGCTTTGATAATCGTGTTATGAATATTCATTTAGAATGATGCATGTTTTCGACGATTAATTGAATGAAATTGAAAGTTGGAATTCTTATCCGAAGAATCAACGTTGTATGTATAGTCGTCGGATATGTGATCGTGTTTGAACACAGAAAATTCTGAAAAAGTCTGTACAAAGTGATACAAGAAATACTGAATGATGGAATGGAGAATAGCGTAGTCTTCAGTAGGTGAAACATAATTTTCTCTGTGTTACTAGTGGAATAATGGAGTGTTACTTCGTCATGAGGATGTCTGGTGTCTGACTTCGAAATGGTTTTGTAATTTCTTGGATCGAAGGTCGATAATGAAAGTACGCATTTTTAATCAAAATGATGCATTTTCGTTAAGATAAATTATAAAATTCAAAAAATTACGATTGTAGTTCCAAAAGTATGAAATTCATATTTATTCTTGACGATGGATATACAAGGTGCGATAAAAAATATGTCCAGATTGTCCTGGGATGAAGAAGAATTGATATGTGTGAACCTGATGAAAATCGCTATGTTCCGAAAAAGGAATATAATGTCGGTCATTGTCGAAAATTGTGAAATGAATAAATATAGTAACTTTTCATGAGGTTTATACAAGGAAATATGAAAGAGACTGCAGAATTGCCACAGATTCGATTAAATGTTTTCATACTAATGAAGATAAATACAGTAAGTCCTCATGAGGCTTGTACGAGGTATAATGACAGAGACTTCAAAATTGCTATATATTCGTGCACACTAATAACTTGTTACCATTGCATCTCATACTGATCTAGCACCTACAACATGGTCTTCCGAAGGAAACTTTAATAATAATAATAATCATTTATTCAAATAGGGCATCCTAATATACAAACTACATTCATTAAAGTTTATAAATTGTAAAGTCTTAAATATAAGTATATTACACAGATGAAGTTCATATAATCCGAACAATAAATAGTGAAATGGAGAATATTGTATATGAAGAAAAAGAAAAAATTATAAGTATATGTTATTTAACTATTGTCGATACTATCGACGTTGAAGTGTGAATAAGTTGAATGAAGATAGAATAACTCTTGAATGCTCATTTCTGCATCATCTTTTTCACAGGGTGATTCATAAGGAATTCATAATATCTCACCTGATGCTATAGATTTGACGAATTCCGTTGAAAAAAATATAGATTTCCTAACTTATACTCACGATTATTGCTATTATGTTTTCTCACGTCAAAAAAATCCTAAGTGCATATTGGATTGACGTTCATTCCAATATGTGAAGTCTCGTTCATATTATATAAGCCTCATGAGGACTTACTGTATTCATCTTTATTAGTATGAAAAACATTATATCGAATATATGGCAATTCTGCAGTCTCTTTCATATTTCCTCGTATAAACCTCATGAAAAGTTACTGTATTTATACATTTCACAAATTTCGACAATGACCGACACTATATATATTTCTTTTTCGGAACATAGCGATTTTCATCAAGTTTAAACATATCCTTCTTCATCCCGGGACAATCTGGACATATTATTTATCGCACCTTGAATTTCATATTTCTGGAACCACAATCGTTATTTTTCGAATTTTATGATTCATCTTAACGAAAATGCATCATTTCGATTAAAAATGCGTACTTTTATTATATGACCTTCGATCCAAGAAATTACAAAACCATTTCGAGGTGAGACACCAGACATCCTCATGACGAAGTAACACTCCATTATTCCACTAGTAACACAGAGAAAATTATGTTTCATCTACTGAGGACTACGTTATCCTCCATTCCATCATTCAGTATTTCTTGTATCACTTTGTATAGACTTTTTTAGAATTTTCTGTGTTCGAACACGATCACATATCCGACGACTATACATACAACGTTGATTCTTCGGATAAGAATTCCAACTTTCAATTTCATTCAATTAATCGTCGAAAAAATTTAACATTCTGAATGGGTATTCATAACACGATTATCAAAGCTCTGAATTTGAAAATTCCGAAAAAGTTTCGAGAGAAAGCATCAATCAAGAGGATACAGGTGAGAAAACAAAATTTAAAAATTATCTGCTCAAACGGTAAGGTGATGACCACGATGCAATTTTACACCCATTCAATTATCACCCTGTAGCAATGTTATCTGAAATTACAGAAGTTTCATATTGCCACAACAAACTGTCAAGAGAATAGGCTAATCATCGGTGAAAACCGATTTCAAATTGGTGAGGAAATTCGTGAGTTATTCTACTTTGAATTCAGGCTATATTTTGGAGCACGACGTTATCAATGTTGACCAGTTTACACCTAAAGGCATTTAATATAGGTGTATTACAGTGCACTTTTTGAGAATTTGAGATTGCAAAACAAAAAAAAAAAAAGTTAATCCTTCATATCAATAAGTAATACTTGTGTATTATTGTATTTTATCTCAGGTTTTATCAAGATGTCCAATCTTTTTTCAACAATAGAAATATTTTTGATGATTACCTATACCTGTGTCTCCATATTCATCAAGAGTTCTTAATGATTAAACAATTTATGACATCACTATAGCCATATCTCCCGGTATTAGTCCATATCAATTTGTTAACCTCTAATATACATATAATGATCTGGTAGTGATTCATATTATGTGATGTCCATTGCAGTCAATGTGTGAACGACGTCACAATAATGTTCTTTGAGACTTCCGGTTGAACCAGAAGTAACCCAAACTTTTCATTTTTAAATAGGACACCCTGTATATTTTTTCGCTTTTGGATTCAGAGGATCGTTTTATACAGGGTAACTCACGGTTCATGGTACGTTAGACGTTTACGGAAAACGAGACATAGGATCATTCTGAAATTTTGGTTACCACGTAGTTGCTCTTGGTCTATTGATCTAAAATATTTTCAGCTCTGCGGCGTTGCCGCTTCTATCGAAAAGTAGCAACAACTTTGTTATTTTAAACGGAACACCCTGTATTTTATTGCATTCTCAGATTCTCTCTGAAGAGCTGATTTCATCGATGTATCACACTTGGGGACAATCGAAAATGATTACAGAGATATAGGGTGTGAAAAATCGACATTTTTCAACTTTAGGAATTTTTTTTGTCGAAACTATTCATTATTGGTCAAAACAGCTCACATGTCCCTATCTCAACTTTTGATCAACTATCTACTGACATTTAATTGAAACAAATACAGGGTGGTGCAGAATTCAGAATCTTGATCACCCGGTATATGTCCCAATTAAATAGCATCAGATAGTTAATCAAAAGTCGAGATAGGGACATGTAAGCCGTTTTGACCAATAATGAATAGTTTCGACAAAAAAAATTCCTTAAGTTGGAAAATGTCGATTTTTCACACCCTATATTTCTGTAATCATTTCCGCTAGACCCCAAGTGTGATACATCGATGAAATCAGCTCTTCAGAGAGAATCTGAAAATGCAATAAAATACAGGGTGTTCCATTTAAAATAACAAAGTTGTTGCTACTTTTCGATAGAAGCGGCAACGCCACAGAGCTGAAAATATTTTAGATCAATAGACCAAGAGCAACTACGTGAGTAACCAAAATTTCAGAATGATCCTATGTCCCGTTCGCATATAAGCAAAACGTACATCTATTTGGCAAAAGGCCTGTATCTACGCTTTCTGATTGGTTGATGCCAAATAACAGTACACATTGCTATACCGGCGCCAAATAGATGTACAATTTGCTGCAGATCTCGCCGCCAAATAGGCAGTACGAATTGCGTATGATACCTAAAATAGATGTACACTTTGCCATCTGCATAGGGCTCGCGCTTTTGTTTTTGTTTTTGGTCAATGGTCAGTCTTTATTATGCAAGCAGCACGTGCATCCTATCATTTTGAGTTGAATACCTAGTTGAGTTTGATTTCAATACCTTATTTCAATATAGAATTACCCCAATCTTTCAAATATAATATAAAGACGAATGGAGTTACTAACAATGATAATATAACAGTTTATGGAGATTTACACAATCTAGAAGAATGTGATATGTGGATTCGAGAATTTTCTAGCTTAAATCACACGAAATGGATCGTAACGTGAAAGTGCTCCCAATTTGAAACTTTTTGTGTGTTCTTAAGTATAGCTAAGTAATAATGTTTTATTAATTATTATGTGCTGTGCTATGCTGAAAGTGGGGTGATATTTATGATAGTTTCGATGTAACAGAGGATTTTTTTTTGTTAGATCTCGTTAGGGGTTTGGAGGAGGTAGGGGTGGGTAGAAGCAATAGGAATTGTTCAGCGCGACCACGCGCGACTTTGTATGTATATAGATACTTCACAAGTGGAAGCTTTCGTGACTGTTTGATTGAACAATAAGTATTCATGGGAATATTCGTGTGGATTTATTATTTTGGCCTTTTCACATTCCTCCTGATAAAACGATTTCAACAAACGATTACAATTGCAGTCTCTATTTATAACGATCAATTTGAGAACTACAGGTACGTCAATATCCTTTGTCCCAAAGTTTTTTGACTACGCTCTTCAATAAAATATGAATGATTAATATAATTCTGCATCGCTTTAATCATCACAATGAATATAGGATTGCCCACATAAACATTGACACCCTTAACCCAAATAATTTGGCAACTGCTCGTTTCAGACGTTTGTAGTAATCGCCGTGGGACAAAAGATATTGAAGTACCTGGTATAGTTCTTGAATTAATCGTTTTAGGCTACAAGTGTGATAGATTGTTGGAATTGTTTTATCGAGAGAAACATAGTAATTCCAAAATAAACAGGTTGTCCCATTAATAATTTTGAATCTGATGTCACGTGACCGAAAACGTAAAGCTCATTGGGTAATATAATATTCAACCCCAAAATTACAATCTTCTACTACTCTTGAGTTTCGAGATATTCCCTGTCTTAATTGTCGTGGGACACCCTGTACATTTATGTTTCAAGAACGCACTATCGATGTGTGAATGTGATGAGTATTTTCGAATTTGTATTATTATTATTATAATAAATTTTTGATATCCCATGCAGTTATTGCAGTTTCAATTTAATGCCATAACGTACAAGGCGCTGACGCGACACCAACAATATGTACTGTTATCTGGCATACACATGCATTTTCAATTCACGCGCAAAACGTACATGACTCTGACTCAACAATGGCATAACGTACTGTTATTTGGCATCAACCAATCAGAAAGCTTAGACACAGGCCTTTTGCCAAATAGATGTACGTTGTGCTTATATGCGTCCCGTTCTCCATAAACGTCTAACGTACCATCGACCGTGAGTTCCCAAGTAACATTTATGCTCTTATTCTGGTCTTCAAGAATGCTTTAATACTTTACAATAAAATTTCGAATAAAACCAATTGATCTTCAAGACAGCCCTGAGACCTTGATAAAGCAGCTTCTAGCCAAAAAAGGCCCATCCTAAAAAGGCCTTCAAGACTAAATTTTAAAACTATAATAAAACCATCAAGTTTTATAATCATATTCCTGAAGAGTTCTTCAAGGCATCATTAAATACATAAATTAAAACTCATATTATGACGTTTTGCTCTTGAAATGTATTTACGGCAGACTAAATTAACTTAAAATGATTCAATCAATTCTGAAAGAGTTTTATTTCTGTTTACTAACACTTGACAACTCTAAGGTCTGTATATATAATGACCGCCAGAGTGGTGATATTTTAAACGGCATACGGCATACGTATTACGTATAGAAGCATATGATTGAATTAAATTCGAAAGCAAACTATTCTGGTCAAAAATTCACCAACGAATGGCACTTTTCTGATAAAATGTTATAAAATACTTCGACAGAACTTGAGCGCTACTGATTCAATGTATTTTTCTCTAATTTGAAAAATATTTAGAAAATAGCATCAAATTTTATTTTGCATCTAAGCATCTGAATTCATTTTTTAATCAAATGGCATATTCGCACAAACTGTTCTGCAGTTCTGAGAAGATCCAAGGCACAATTATTTGAATAATAATATGCTTTTCGTTTACTATCGAAAATGTCCAAAATGGCGGAATGATTATAACAGTGAAACATGGCGTGATCTAGATTAAAACTGCTTGTACTTTTATTGAATGTTTTAAATCCCAGAAGATTTGAAACATCGTTTTATTTACCACTTCAAATCCAATGACTCTCGCAGGAGTCTGTTTACGTTTTCTTTTAAAACCAATATGACCTAATTGAATTAAAGTGGTCTTGCGCCCGAATGGAATCATAACCTCACACATTTTGTCGTGTAGTGAGTTCATTTTGAATTTCATGTTTATCTTACGACTTTCATTGAAAAAAAAACAAGGAGAGTTTTGTATGTTACTGATTGTTTTTCCGCTACATTGTGATATCGATTATATTTCAACATTACAAATAAGCACACCTCAGCACCCTTCCCAATTATTAACAGGTGTTATTACCCACTATAGATATTTCATTTCTATACCCATAGGCGTATCCACGGGGATATAGTTCCTAAATAGAAATGCAGAAATTAAAAACTCTCTGAATCTTCTGATTGAGTCATTGAAGTGAACTATACAAAGGACGGGACACGTATATACTTTGTCGAGTACTTTGTTCAACTATACGGTAGACTGTTGAGGTTATGTGGAAGACCATCAAAGATCACATTTATAGAGATAGTCAGGGGTTCCTTTATAATATTTTCTAGAACATTTTCGACACAAACCTTGAAACCCTGATGCCAATATTGACCAATTTCTCCAACTGGAATTAACTGAACATTTTTGGGAGTTCTCATAAATGTTCGCGGATCTTGCTCGAGAATAGTCTTCGGTTATCAGTAGTTTAACATTTCTCTGGTTCATGTTTGAAAGGATTGCCAATTCTCTAACCTCTTCGCAGAATAACATATTTTTTATGAGTTCATTGTCGTTTTCGAATTCATCATCTTGAATTTCATGGTCGTTTTCGTAGTTTCCTTTCTGTAATTCCCTGGCATTGCTTTCATAATCGAACGGATTGAAAGATGAAGTGGAAGGACAGCGTTCAGATTAACGCTGGTTTCAATTGCACTATGGTATTCTTGCACTGGTTTAAAAGAGCTTCTCTCGGTTGTATCACGTTTACTTAAATTTTTGAACTTACTTATTTCTGCCCTCACCTTCCCTTTGAAATAACCACTTCTTCTCAATTTGAAGTACTTGTCGCTAATGCTTTCCATTTCACCGATTGGTTAAATATTTTATTTCATATGTGAACATGCGAACTGCACTGGTTGACTAAAAAAGCTTGTTGACATGATGGCGTTTAATCTGAATTTGGAATGGATAAAATTAGTTTTAATAAAGTCGTCCAAAAACCAAAAGGTATTTCTTTCAACCAAATTGACTAAATTAAAACCTTTGAACTTTATAATACTCTTAATGTACTCACTAAAAGGTGAAAATTATGTTTTTGGATTTAATGTGGTATTATATTGAATGTGAAGTCTTAGGATAAAATAGTTTTACTAATGGGTTTTGAAGAATACATCAAGGGTTCCCCATAAAACTACATTAAAACTATTTTTCCCAGAACGGATTGTTTTAAAACCAACTTGCTATTTAGTTCTTAATAATAGCAAATAAGTTTTAAAACAGCCAATGTTGAGACTAACATAAAACCAATATAAGATCAATAAAACATTGAGAGCAAATAGCATTTTTATTTTGATTTGAAGAGTGCATTAAATCCTCTCCTTAAGATTAAGTGGTCTTCAAGAACTTTTAGTTTATCTTGAGGTTACTTTAAATCCCATTTCGATTTATTGAACATAACTTCCGCACATTGTTTTTTTTTATACATACATACATGGAATTGAGGAACAGGAAATAGATTTGGTGAATAAATATAAATCGAAATCAACATTTAATAACAAATCAAGATTACCTAAAAGGCAAACATCTTTTGCAATAGGAATAAAATTTGTATTCAAATTGATAAAATATTGAGATGGCTCATTTAGCCAATTAACTGATTTCACAGTTATTTGAACCGGGAAATAAAACTAAGTTAGGATGAATAAAATATACAACTTCCGAGACGCCAATGCCTCAGACACCAAATCATCATTCCATACATTAAATTAGGTATTTATAATTTATTTTTTCCGATAGAAAAAAAATTGAAAGCAACATCGTACACGGTGGATATGTTTTTTTCATCAAAAATTCATATGGAATAAAGGAATTTTCACAATTTCGATTTGGTGTTATTTGAGGCATCGGCGGCTAATTGTCAGGAGGGATCCTCTTTCTCGAACCTGTTCATCATGGAGTTTGAGTTGCCCGGCTCCGATTTGTACCCCAAGGATTTGTAATAAGGTATGAGGGCGTCCTTGCAGTCCAAAGACATCTTATAGCAGCCCAGTTTCTTGCTGAGTAAGGTGACAGTCAACACGATCCTGGACGGATTGAAATCGCATTAAATACCAGTGCAGTTATCCTTTAATTATGTTTTTAATAATGCAATAACACTCAGCCACCGAAATGGCCGAAATAATCACGAATCTGGAATTTTAAATGGATCACCCTGTACAAGTGTCACCCTATTGTTAGCGATGATGTTCAAATCACCCCGTAAATCGTAAATCATCACAAGCGGCCTCGACGACTCATCGGTATTCGTAATCAGCGTGTGATCGAAGATTGAAGCATGTTTAGCCTTCAGCATTGTAGCATCAGAACGAATCACTTGTCGATGTTGTATTTTTATAAACGGTTATCTTTGTACAAGCCGTCTGGGTGAATAAAAATGTGGAGTGTTGAAATTGTGTCATCTACGATGTCTCCATTCAGAATCTTATACTATATTCAATTGAAATAATACAGATTATGAATCAACAATGACATTCAAACTTGTATAGAAAACTAGCTGACCGCAAACGTTACGCTATATACAATAATTATTTCTAGAAAATATTTTTTCAGTTGAATATTCACGAGAATATTCATCATCACTATTTTATTTTCTACTTTTTAGTTTGGCTATCTATAGAAGCGTGTTCATATTTAGTTTTTCAAACTACCATTTATTTTCTACTCCGGTTTCCTTCACTCTAATTGAATCATATAATCTCTCACTCCTAAAACCACAGAATTCCGCCATATTGAATTTTCTAATTTTGACGAAGGAATCCTGATTTCAAGAAAGGAATCATAATATTTGATTACAACAACCAGTAGGTAAAAATTTTGAATAGAATCGGATTATAATTATGCCATAATTATATATATCTTGGTTCTGCCATGGCGAATTTCCAAATTTCGCCTGACTTTCCACATTTCGACGAAAGATTCAGAATCTCCGACCCCAAAAACCTCCAGATACTAATTTTGAACAGAATCGAATCATAATTACAAAATCTCGTCCGCCATATTGGATTCGCCATCTTGAATTTCATATTTTGACGAAGGAATCATAATCCTTGATCCCGAAAATCTCTTCAATACCAATTTTGAATAGAATCTGATCATAATTACAAAACTCATCCGCCATATTGGATCCGCCATCATGAATTTCCCAATTTTCACGATGGAACCATAATCTTCGATCTCCAGCACCCCCAGATACCAATTTTGAATAGAATCGAATCATTATCACAAAATCCGCCATGTTGGATCCGCCATCTTGAATTTTCTGATGGTAATGGGATAAAAAGTATTCCATGTCTGTCTCCTAGCTGTTTCTAAGCCAGAATGGACCAATACAAAAATCTAGGGATCAAGGGATCAAAATGAAATGTAGCAATTCTGAAGTCTCCTCTGTTCAAATTTCCATAGGAAAGGCGCGAATATCAGGCGGAGTTCAATCATTTAATCTTTTTCAAAGTGGCGTACTTGATTTTTTCCCGTTTTTTGTTCAATTTTCAGGATGAAATTTCTGGTAAATTGAAATAATTAGAAAACACCTGATATCATGGAAATACTCCTTAGACAGTATCATATATTGATGTGCCCTATATAGATCATGAGTTGAATAAAAGTTGTATCATTTACAAAACATATCAATTTTGATGACAATCATTTATGTATGCACAAAATAAGGTTGGTCCCAAAATTGACCCTTGTGGTAACACCACATCTGAAATCCATCAAGGTGCTAGAATTATTATGTATTATCACTATGTAATTAGCCCTAGAGACAGCTTCAACCCAAGTTATTTTATTTAACACATTTTGTTGGAAATATACTGGGAAATATATTATCAGCAAATTGATATTAATAAAATGCAAAAACTTACAGTTTTCCAAGTTGTTTGCCTCTGTAGGTATTGTTCACTACTACATCTTCCAGTCTACCTCTTAGTGCACATTCATGGATGAATTTAAATTCAGTTATGAGTGATGCAGATCCAATAATTTTGTTAATTTTTGTATCTTCTATAACAGTGATATAGTGACCACCAGTATTGCGCATTTTCTGGAATTGACCTAAAATTCATTACTTCCATTTTTGCTTCCATTATCATCTCAATACTTACTTTCAAAGTTAGCTTTAGAGACATTTCCAACATTTGTCAGCTGAGACAAAATTTGTAAATACCCTCTATCAAAGTCTGATAGTTTCAATGGCCTCACTAGAAGCCATTCTTCTCCTGGCTGTTCATTTGTTATGGGTGGATTTAGGAATTGAAGCACAAAAGCCCAATCCAAATTTTCTAATAACTTGGGATCATACAAAAATTCATCTTGATCATTGTACTGAAAAGGAAAATATCATTTGTTTGTGCAAAAAATGTTATACATACACATTTATTCATATTATATTTAGTCTGCAATAATGTTCAACTGATTTTCGTTCAACCCTATTGATTATTTTACAGATATCAGAGGATATTTGATGAATCAGAGAATAAATCATTTGAGCTGAATGAAAATACAGGAAATATAAAAGGTTTACAATATAAGTACTTTACTACATGCTCTGCCCATGTTTTCAGTTGTAATAAGTTCATATTTTCATTAATATCATTATCATCATCAATTCATTGTTACTATAGATAGGTAGATTAAAATTATTTCACTTCCAAAAGAAGATAAGATAATTAAAATTGATGAAAATCCTTGATAACAATTACAAGTACCAAATAAGTGAAAGTAGAGATGTTTTGTTGTCATTCATTGGAAATTAGACGCAAAAATCCTACAGAAACCATTGTGAATGAATCTAGAAATCCTTGTAGGAATTCTCTTAATCAAAGGACCAATCATTGGCATTACAGAGTTCCTGATAATGTATGTTTCTAGAATGTAATACAATAGATCTAAATAGTGTTTATCTAGATCTATGGTAATACTGATTCATAATCCTATATATTTATTTCAAATTTCATCATACCATACATACCTATATGTATCAATATATCTGTATCTACAGGGTGATTCAAAAGTAAGCGGCATCCTTTCAGAGGCGTATTCCTTGCATGAAAATAAGGCAAAAAGTTCCTATTGATAAGGATCCGAAAATGCTTCCTAAGGGAGCTACGGCCCTTTGAATAGGACACCTCAAAGACGGTTTTTTCTCTATAACTTTAAAATCCTTCACAACAAATTTTTAAAAATTGGTGTACGGCATAAACATTCGATGGTAAATAGGACTCCGTATTCGAAATAATTTCCAAACGAAATCACAGTAACCTGAATATCCGGAGAAGAAGGGATATTTTTACACTTACCCTCTCCCGCATGTGACGCCCCTGAATGAAATTCTGAAATTTCGAATACGGAGTCCTATTTACCATCGAATGTTTATGCCGTACACCAATTTTTAAAAATTTGTTGTGAAGGATTTTAAAGTTATAGAGAAAAAACCGTCTTTGAGGTGTCCTATTCAAAGGGCCGTAGCTCCCTTAGGAAGCATTTTCGGATCCTTATCAATAGGAACTTTTTGCCTTATTTTCAAGCAAGGAATACGCCTCTGAAAGGATGCCGCTTACTTTTGAATCACCCTGTATACAATACACATCTGGTAATAATATGACAATAATATAATAAAAATAAATCTAATATGCTGAGGGAGAATTATGTATAAATACATATGGAGTTAGAGCACAACAACATCAGACATCTCCACTCAGACAACAAATACAGACGGATTTTGATATTTTTAATCTTACCTGCGTGGCACCCATTGTGAAGTGAAACAATAAAGTTCAAATATTCAATCATAACAACTAACAAGGTGTCCTTTCAGCAAACAAAACCTTGATAGTCGAATAGAAAGTAAACACTACAGTTTTTTGCATTTGCCACCTGCAAATACATACTTTCACATTTTAAAATGATTCAAAATTATTCACGGATATAAACTCAAATTTTGACGTTTCTATTCTTCTTATTTTATTTTGCTTCTTGTCATCTACTCTGGAAACAAGGTTCCATAGGCAATATAGGCCATAAAAAAATGTCCCCTAAACTAGTAAAATACTCAACTCCCATTCCAGATTCCTGCAATTCAAAATATTCCAAATTTATGTTTGCCTAAAAAATAATGGCAGTGAAATCATGAAAAATAATAGTTATTTATTATACTAGGGAAAAAAATAGTAGATTTTAGCTCCAGGTTGATGTGTAGTAACATTTTATAACCTGCCAACAGAGATGAAATTCCAAACTTTTTTCAGAAAAAATAAATTTCCAACTGAAAACAAATTATTCCTAAATCAGTCAATAACTCCTTTACTTTCCAGATGATCAATAAACAATAGTAAAACATCAATTAAATTTAATAAGAATAAATACTTTTCAAAAAATTGGTTATCCCATAATATATGAGTCTAAATCATTTCTTGATTTCCCAGAATTGTCTGACCGTCTGCCCAATGCCACCACAATGATGGTTATAATACAAGAGTCCTCCAAGAGTAGCAGCCGAAATGAGATACAACAAGCCAAGACTTATTTTTGGTAATGCTGCTCCAAACAGAATAGGTCTAATGTAATCAACTACACAAGCCTCTAAACCCCTAAAAATATATATGATATATGACAATGAAGATCACAATAATACAATGTCCCTAACAATAATCTAGTTTCAACTTCCTTACCAATGGAAATGCACAACTGTTAGAACAGCAAACATATCATCAAGGACAACATTAGGTGTCAAAAAAGTTGCAGGGACAACTCCCAGAAGAATTACTGAAACTGCTTTCTCAATGGGCCACAATTTGCTGTGATCCCCAGACATGGATCTTTTTACTATAGGCAGGTTTATTTTTCTGTACAGGGGAGATATCACTTTGCTTTTATCAAGTAATTGTGAAAAGGTTTTCCTGGAGTCCACTATTATTGTGGATTTTATAATACTGGACATCCCTGAAACATAATGTTATGTAATATTCTATTATTTTAAAGTACATAAACCCTTCCATACCATTCGTCCTAGCTGCATTTCTAAGTATCAGAGACAAAGCCATTATCGGAATCTGCAATTAATTGAGAAGTGCACTCAAATATTTTTACAAAAATCTCTTGGTGGGATTCTCAAAGAATTTTTCAATTTTTAATTTTTTGTATTCGGAATGTCACGTCAAATTAGTGAACCTATCACCTATCACAGTGTCACTCTTGTCAAGTTGTCACTACTGTCACCTGAGATTCATCATCTTCTTCTGAATTTCTTTGCCTCTCAGGCTGGACATCCAGCCTGTTCTTCCTGTTTTTAACTTGAGGTCTTATTATTAAATGAAACGGGCAAAGGCCCGACGCTTCGATGGTGAAGCCGAGAGCTGAGCGAAGATGGAAGAAGAATACGGTTAGGGTGAGATGTCAAATCAAATCCTAACCTGAAAAACTGTGACAAAATTCAACTTTAAAAACTCGAAACATTTTCCTATTTCAGCGTGACGATAAAGTGATGTCCTAATAATAATGGAACGCGCTGAAATCGAGGAAGAGCCGCTTATTTTCAGGAAGGTCCTGAATTGGGCCCTTCTCAATTGGTCCCTTGACGATTGGAAGACTGTTTTGTCGGATGAGAAAATGTCATTTCGCTCCGGTGTATTACAGAAGACATCAGAGCCCCAATGGGAAAGAACCACCGAGTCCTTTGACGAAAATTTCGAATTCTTTTTGAAACACTCTCAGCAAGGAGATCATCCAAAGTGGCTCTACTTTGATTACAAATACATGAAAGATTGCTCCCCGAACTTGGACAAGCTGAGAAATGTAATGATTGTGAACTGAATTGAGCAATTTCATATGATTTTAATTTCAAGTTTAGGAAATTAATTGGAAGTCTCTGGGTTTGGCTGATGTAGGAGCTGATGATAGTACAATATGGATTGGGTCTAAAGGGGCTCATACACCCTGTCACATGGATACCTATGGGTATAATGTGGTTTGTCAATTGTATGGCAGGTGAATATAACTACTTCTTTCTTTCAATATTGGAATTATAAAACATACTGTGATTGATGGATTTCTCTATTATTATCTAATATATAAAATTCTCCTGTCCTGGTCACAGAACTGTGGTCACAGTGTTAGTGGTCATTAGTGGTCGAACTCCTCCGAAATGGCTCAACAGATTCCTATGAAATTTGTTGTGCATATTTGGTAGGTATGAGAATGGGTCATAATCTATTTTTTAAATCGAAAATTCAAGATGGCGAATCCAATATGGCAGACGAGTATTTGTTATCCAATTTCATTCATAATTGGTATTTGGGGGTTTTCGGGGTCGGATATTATGATTCTTTCATAAAATTTTGGAAACTCAAGATGGCGGACCCAATATGGCGGACCTGTTTTGTAATTATGATCAGATTCCATTCAAAATTGGTATCTGGGGGTTTTCAAGGTCGGAGATTATGATTTATTCATCAAAATTAGGAAATTCAAAATGGCGGATCCAATATGACGGTCGAGTTTTGTAATTATGGTTAGATCCCTTTCAAAATTGGTATCTGGGGGTTTTGGAGGTCAGAGATTTTGATTTTTTAACGAAATTAGGAAATTCAAAATGGCGGATTCAATATGGTGGACGAGTTTTGTAATTATGATCCAATTATATTCAAAATCGGTATCTGAGGGTTTTTAGGTCGGAGATTATGGTTCGTTCGTCAAAATTTGGAAATTCAAAATGGCGGATCCAATATGGCGGTTCAAAATTAGTATCTGCAACGTTTGCCGGGTATCAGCTATTGTAATAGATATTAATTTGAAAAACTAATGAAACACCTTTTTATAGATAGCCAAAGTGAAAAGAAGTTAGTAGAAAATAAAGAGTAGTTTGAAAAAATGAAGAGGTATAAAGTACCGAACTAAAAAGAAGTAGAAAATAAATAGCGAGTAGTTTGAAAAACTAAAGAATCCCGCTTTCATTGATTGACAAACTAAAAAGTAAAAAGAAGTAGAAATAAGATTATGAAAGTTTTCTGATAAATATTTATCTAAAAATTTGTTTCCAGAAATAATGTTCATGGTAGAACAACATTTGCCGGGTCAGCTAGTTACTCTGTAAATTTATCAATTTATATTCCAGGAAATTATGGCTTCTGTTTCCTCCCAATGAAAATCTACAGCCTACCAGAATACCATATGAAGAATCCAGTATCTATTCCAAATTAAATTTTTTCAGTCCTGATTGTAATGATTTCAGATATTTCAGAGGTATAATGTGGGTCAATACTTCAGTTAACTATGCCTGCTAAAGCATATTTTCTTTTCAGAAATTACTACATGCAAAAAAATTATATTGGAACCTGGAGATGTTTTGAGAGTGCCAAATAAATGGTGGCACTATGTAGAGAATTTAGAAACAAGTATTTCTCTCAATGTATGGCTACCAAAGGTGTGGAAATGAGTACACATAGTGAAAATATTGTTTTTTTTTTCATATATTTTATCATGATTCCAATATTTTATGGAACATTTATCTTATTAATTTATGTTTTATATTATTATATTACTAATCAATAACTCTTTTTGGATTTTGAAACCATATTTATCCTCAGCTATATTTTTCTATCAATAAAGGGAAAACCTGATTTTTTTAAGCCTCAAGATGATGAAGAGAGATTGAAAGAATCCATTGTACAATTTCTTGTGAAGCAGTTATCTGATATTGAGGAAAGCAAACAGATTTTGAATCCAAACATGGAAGATGTGAGCAATAATTACATTAAAATGTCTCATAGATCAAAAACGTTAAAATTATACTGGGTGATTCAATTTCTCAAAAAAAAAGATGTTTTGGGAAGATTATTTATTGAGTTATTTTGAAAACAAATGTATTGAAAATTGGACACACTGGTGACACTGTACAGTGTTTCCAGTTTTCAATGCTTTTGCATGATATCTCAGTTATCTTTGGAGATAGAATCTTGTGGTTTTCACAGTCCTGTGCCACATTTTTGTGGAACTCAACATGGCCTAATCAGATTTTGCATAACTTTCTGTTTTTGAGATACAGGGCGATTTTTAAAATTTAAACTTTTTGGACCTCCACTATATCTATGAAGTTTCTCAGCGAATATGTCTAGTTGAAATCTCAGCCCATAGAGCAGAATCCAGTGGCGCACTAAATTTTTTTTTCGGGGTATGGTTTTGGAGATACAACTTAAACTTATGATTTTTCAAATATATAATCAGCTCATATTGAATTCCTTATTGTTTTCCTTCAAAATGAATTATAATGTATAGATATAAAAATCTCATAAATGCTCCGAAATCGCTAAAACATTGAATTTCAACCGGATTGGGTGGATTTTTCATGAAAAAAGTTCCAATTGAAGGAATATTTCCTTTGATTTCTCCATGAAGAAGACAGAAACAATACCAACACTAATTAACTAACTAAACACAAAACTAAGTTACCTGATAGCAACAAATAAATAGTAATAAGTTCATAATTTAGAATAAATACCTGATTCAATATAAACTAGCTAGAACAATTGCATTTCGAAATTATTCAGTAACTTATTCACTGAATTGTTTAAATTGATGTTTATTTTCCTTCAAACACTTTCTCAAAACGTCTTAGGCATTCAAAACCATTAAAAGATGTCATTTTATTTCTGGAAAACTATTTTTGCACGAAGTTCTTCAAGATTGTTGTGCCTCTCACTGTAGAAGACGTATTGAGAAAGTGTGTTAATTATTGTGTGTTAGGGAAAATGGACAATAAGTTACTGAATAATTTCGAAATTCAATTGTTTTCGTAAATATTTAATCAGGTGCTTATTCTACACTATAAACTTTCTATTACTATTTCTTTGTTGCTTTCAGGTACCTTACTTTTGTGTTTTATCAGTTGATTAATGTTGATATTGTTTTTGTCATCTTCATGGAAAAATTCATGGGAATATTCCTTCAATTGGAACTTTTTAAATATAAAAAAAATCTATAGCCCACTATTAAAATTCAATGTTTCGACTATGGTTTTAATGATTTTTGAGCACTTTCGACAATGTTATATCTATTCATCATATATTATTTTGAAGGAAATAAAAATACGGTATTTAATGAGCTTATGAAATACAGGGTGTTCCGTTTAAACAATCATAAGTTTGAGTCGTATCTGGAAAACCGTACCCCGAAAAAAAAAAGAGTGCGCCACTGGATTCTGCGTAAAATCCTCTATGGTATAAGAATTTAATTTGAGATTTTCGCTAAGGAACTTCGTAGATATAAAGGGGGTTCAAAAAGTATAAATTTTCAAAATCGCCCTGTATCTCATAAACGAAAACAGTTATGCAAAATCTGATTAGGCCATCTTGAATTCTACTCACACAAAGTGGCAGTAGTGGCACTGGACCGCGAAAACCGCAAGGTTCTATCTCCAGAGAGAACTGAGATATCACGCAAAAGCATCGAAAACTGGACACACTGTACATTGTTGAACTTTTTACTTCTGATATCTATGCTGAAACGAATTGATTCTAAAAAATTGATTCATCTATACTTATTTCCTTTCAGTAATTTATCAATACATAATAAATCATTTATAATTTTATAAAGATGGTTTTCAGTTAATTTGTATTATTTTAGGTGATTTTGTCAAACAGTTCTCGATCTATCTTAGACATAGTAAAACAAACATTCACTGTATGTCAAAACAGAACTTCCAAAAGTACTCATAAAAGACAGAGAACGGAAAGTATTGATGTGAATTCTGGTGAAAATCTACTTTTGTCTAAGGAAGATGGAACTCCATACGAATTCGAATTGATTCCTACATTACCGAAACAGGAATTTTATTTATTCATGCACCAGCAAAATGATAAATTTGCTGGTAGTAATATTGATGGGGAAAATACTAGTACTTTGTCAGCTAGTACCAGTATCAATTCGAAACTTCTCAATGCCCTTACGCATCCCGAAGTAATAGAACTTATAAAGGACAAACTTTTGAATGAATAACAGTTTTCTATTTTTCTTCAGAGATTTTTTTTTGAACATTTATTGTGAAAAATAATTGCCAAATAAAGGAACTTACTATAATATATACTTTCTTAATAATTTTTTCTTTACCAGAAAAACCTACCTGCCCCGCACGAAAACACAGGAAATTGGCTCTCGGTCGAATGGGCGTGTACACCTTAGTAGAACTTTTAACTCAAACCATGTTTATAATGATCCTTTTATACATAAATAATGATTGACGACATAATTCGATCGAAAAATTTACTGGACTGTTTTATTTTTGTACATAAATAATAGTACCTTCTGAAAACGGAGCCTCTTATGACGTAGGAACCTCATCTCGCCATAGTTAAAAGAAAATACCAAACGCCCGACGGAGACTGAGGCAACTGATATATTAATTCTTTCAACTGTGATCTCGCGGTAATTCACTATCTGTCAGAAATCATATATCATTCATCTTTGTCTGGAATAGTCTTGTTTCAGTATTAGGGTTTTGACGTCACATCATCGCCTCGTTTTCAGAGGTCCGAAAAATCGGGGATTTTAATAATTTATTATAAAACGTAGGGAGCTCACAGCAAGAAACGGTTTGCGATGGTGAGCTAGTTTGGGTGAGTTCTATCGAATTATGAAATAAAATTTGTTTGTGATATAAGCCCATTGGCTGAAATTTCACTATGTTGTTGTGGGATGGCTCATTAGAAAAATATGTGAGTTTGAAAAGTTTTGTATGTTTAGTTTCTGAGATATAAGACGACAAAGTTCGTAAAAACGTCGTATCGGGGTAGGATTGACAAAGAAAAAAACTGTTTTTTTAGTATAAAGAAGACAAAATAAGCTAGAAAATGTATTGATCGGAACTCATGAACATGTCTAGTTATAATCACATAAATTATAGTAAATCAGGGTGTATACGAGGCACGGTAAAAAAATTCATTTTACGGAGCACTATTCCAAAACCAACAAGTTATACTTTGGAGGGACATTATAGTTTCAGTCTATTGTAGGCTTCGAAAACGTAGTTTCAATCTTGATAACTATCTCTGTTCGAAATATGAACTCTTTGAATTTTGTGTTATACCCCTTTTGGAAATCAATTGATCACAAGAAAAGGGATTGATTGATACTGTTGATTGCAAGAAAACTGAGGTACTAACTCACTAGCGAATTCAGTTGTTCAATATTGTTTTCCATTTAGATCCAGGGTGTGTTAGATTTTGTTGAAGATTATTTAAAATGTTTCAATTGAATATCTCGAAAACAGTTCCGTTAATTTGGATCTCATTTCACTCAGACTATTTTGAATATGTTGACTATCATATGCAGAAAGTTTTTCAATTTTTTATGATTCGTTTCTGAGATATGCATCCCTATAATACCTGTAATACTGTGAACTCAACAATTGATATCTCAGAAATAAAACATGAAAAATTGAAAAACTTTTCGTGTATTCAAAATAGTGTGAGTAAAATGAGATCCAAATTGACGGAACTGTTTTCGAGATATGCAATTGAAACACGTTAAATAATCTTCAACAAAATCTAACACACCCTGTATCTAAATGAAAGGTAATATTGAACAACGGAATTCACAGCATTCATTCAATCAACAGTATCAATCACTTTCTTTGTGATCAAAAACAAGCTGTCAATTTGTTTTCAAAAACGGGTTATAACACAGAATTCTAAAAATTCATATTTCGAACAGAGATAGTTATCAAGAATCAAAATACGTTTTCGAAGCCTACGACTAAAACTATAATGTCCCACCAAAATATAACCTGTTGATTTGGAATAGTGCTCGAATTTTTTATCCGAAAAATGAATTTTTTTACCGTGCCTCGTATACATCCTGATTTACTATAATTTATGTGATTATAACTACACATGTTCATGAGTTGCGATCAATACATTTTCTAGCTTATTTTGTTTCATTTATACTGAAAAAACAGTTTTTTTCTTTGTCAATCCTACCCCGATACGACGTTTTTACGAACTTTGTCGGCTTGTATCTTAGAAACTAAACATACAAAACTTTTCAAACTCATAAATTTTTTTAATGAGCCATCCCACAACAACATAGTAAAATTTCAGCCAATTCGACCGAGAGCCAATTTCCCGTGTTTTCGTGCGGGGTCCTTTAGGCTTAATATACAGGGTGTAATAACACTCCACATGCAGAAAAGGTGTATTTTTACTGATGCCTATAGGCAGAAAAAGCTTGTTGCTATGCAACGTCGTTCCAAGTAATTTGAATCGAATTGGTAATCAAAAAATTGCAAATGACTTTGAGTGAACAAAAAATGATGGATTATTATTTGGACTTTGCGTGAAATTGAAAAGCATTTCACATGGCAGAAAAGAAGATGTAATATGCGAAGGCTATGAAACGCCAGCCGCGGCATTAATAAATCTTACTGACTGGGTCAGTATGAACATTTCAATGTTCGAAGTGGCAAATAGCCAGGAAAGTAGTTGTTTTCTGTTGAATATTCAGAATGATGTGTGCATATACATATTTTGTATGAAGGAGAATGCAAATTCTCAATTTCAGAAGTTTTTATATTTTATTTTCAAACTCTTATCGTGTGTGTTCAATAGATAAAATTCAACGACGAACAGTGGCATATATAGCCAGGAAAGTAGTTGTTTTCTATTGAATCAACTGAAAAAGAGTCAATAATGTATTGCTTTATATAAATATATATCCATTTTTGTATGTTCATAATTTATCTGAGAATATTCCTTTTCAACATGAACATATAAATTTGCAAGGGTATTTTTTTTCCGAATTAAAAATTTAAAAATCGAATCTCATTTTAAAAAATCCAGTTGCGCCAAAAATTGAGAAAATGAGATTGATATTTTAATCAAAGTAATAATATGTAGGGGTACCTACAGTTATTCCTGATATACTAATTATGTTAAAAGATAGAAAACAATGTTGATATTTTCATTGACGCCATAATATGGAGATATATATAGCGAACAGTGTTATTCCTGATAAACGATGAAAGATAGGTACAAAAAAATTCTCTGTAATTAAAAGCATAACCAGGATTATTTTTATCTATACTTTAAGTTGCTTTAAGTAGGTACTTACCTATACAATTACCATTAAGAAAACAAGATATAGCTATAGGTACGCAAAAGGCTCGGCAAAAGGTGATAGATTCGCTTTTGTATTGCGCCAGTACCTATATGCATATTTGCGGTGATTCCCTTCAAGCTAATCATATCACGAGTTTAGTTTCTTGAAATTGAGTTTTGGGCGTTTGGGGAAGAGGGAATTATAAAAACCATTATTTCAGATGATTACCTATAGAGGGTGTTGCGAAATTCGACCGACAATAACGCTTGACAGGATAGCCGCCTCGTGATTTCAGATAATCACTGAGATAGTTGAGAAATAAAAATAGCTGTTTCGCAATATCTCAAGAAAACTTTATAATGCATTCAACTTTGGTAAATAATTCTTTGAATGGGTCATTTTTTGACCAGGAAGCCATTTCGGACATTTTATCCAGTGGTGCCCTACAGGAGAGAGTGTGGCAACTTTTCCTCTCATATTTCCTACGCCACTGATTTAATTTCAATCATTTGCAATTCCTCGAATTCATTGTTCAATTTTGTTCCAAAAATGCATCACCTTCAATTGAGCTGAAATGAACAGTTTTCGAGATATTCGACCCAAAATAGAAGATTGCATAGCAATATTTCATCATTTTCAGTAGATGAAAATTGCAAAAATATTTTTTTGGTGTTGAGTAGATTAGATACTATTCAGATCTCATTTTGTAGCTGAACAGAAATAATAATTATTCCACGCATAAAGAAAAAACAAATTTTTTTTGTAATATATATTCTACTACTGAAGAAGATGAGATGAAAAATTACTATGCAAACTTCTATTTCGGGTCAAATATCTCGATAACTGTTTATTTTAGCTCAGTTGAAGATGATGCAGTTTTTCAAGATAGTTGAACAATCAATTCGAGGAATTGGAAATAATCGAAATTTCATCAGTGGCGCAGAAAATATGGGAGGAAAAGTTATCACAACCCTCTGTAGGACACCTCTCTGGGTCGTGAAATTGTCGGAATGTCTTCCTGGTCAAAAAATTAATCGATGAAAGATGGATCCATATACCGAATTTGAATGCTTAAGTATATTTTCAATGTTCCTTGAGATACTGCGAAAAACCTATTCAAATTTCTTAACTTCAACGCCCTGTATCTCGAGAACTGAACACTTGAGGACAGTATGTCCCTATCTCAGTGATAATGAAATCACAATGGCTATATCACCTGTCAAGCGTTGCCGGTCGAATTTCGCAACACCCTGTATATATAATCTTAACTTCTGATTGATTATATCTACTGACATTTGATTTTGGAACAAATTCAGAGGGTGATCAGATTTTCTGATTCTTCAACCACCTCATTGAATTTTGGTTTTACGCAAGCTATTACAGGATAACAATTAGCAATGGAAAAATACATATAATATTTCTGATGTCAACACCTTTAATATCGAAAACTTAGCTCCAAATAAATTAAAAGTAAAAAAAAAACTTCTCAATAAAAAGAAGAAAATGAAATTTTTCTTGATAACTTTTTAACTATCAACTTATAACCTCATTATACACAATTTATATGATCATAAAAGTTTGTCGCGCGATTCACTTGTGAGAATGAACTAGTAGGTACTTATTTAATTATGTGAAATCTGCTGAGATAAAATTTTTAAAATTACAATTTAATTAAATAATTATTGATCATCGCGACAAGCTTTTATGATCATATATAAATTGTGTATAATGAGGTTATAAGTTGATAGTTAAAGTTATTAAGAAAAATTTCATTTTCTTCTTTCTAGAGCGTTTAAATAAAAGCTTTTTATTAAAAAGTTTGTTTTTTTACTTTATTTATTATTTTACTCTCAACGAGCCTCTTCATTTGATACCCATATTGTAGAAGTATAGAAAATGACCATTCCGCCATCTTGGATGGTCCGCC